TAATCTAAGGGGGACAGATCAGGAGATCGTGGGGGCTATTCAATAAATCCTCTTCGTCCAATCCAATGCCTAGAAAAGTTTTCATTTAAGTACTGACGAACCACTGCAGCAAAATGTGGAGGAGCCCCGTCCTGTTGAAATATTAGGTGATCTTCAAGGTATCGGTTATCGTTTTCTATTATGTCTGTTAACAGTGGATCAACGGTGTTTTCGCGTAATTTCAAATACATATCCCCAGTTAAAGTAAAAATAATGGACCAACAATACGATCGCCAAATATTCCAGCCCAAACGTTTAACTTTTCTGGGTGTTGAGTATGCGTTTCATGAAATACTCTTGGATTGGAATCTGACCAGTTTCGACAATTATGTCGATTGACAGTCTCGTTAACATAAAAACTGCATTCATCTGAAAAACAAATGTTATAAAGAATATGCGGATCTTGTATAGCATGCTCGCTCATGAATTCACAAAATCGTCTTCGTTAAGTTCCTGAACTAAATGAATTTTATAGGGATGGAATTTGAAAATTCTCCTGACGGTACGGTCACGTACTCCAGATAATTCTGCAAGCTTTCTTGTACTAAGAGTTGGATCTGCAACAACTTGTCCTAAAACGGCTACCTCTACGGCTTCGTTTCTTACTGGATTTTGAATCTGCCGTTTTTTATTTTGAACAGATCCTGTTTGTCGAAATTTTGAAATAAGTTCCAAAACGTAATTACGTTTAAGTAACCTGTTTGGGTGTCGCTCATTGAAAATTGTACAGGCACAAGGTGTTAGCAAATTCGTTATTTTTTAAATAACATTCAACAATTTCTACTCTCTCCTGAATAGAATAAACCATTTTTATGTTTGACTCGCTAATACACTTGAGGTATCAATGGCGCTAAACTAAAAAACAGTCCTGGTAGTTATGGAAAAAAAAACCTTTATTTATTTTACGAAAACATAGGTGTAGTAAGTTCAATTTTATTCTAAAGGTAATTATGCGTTAAATTTGGCTTTCACATGACAATACACTTATTTGAACTGTCACATGTCACACAGTCGAATTCCTTATAAAATTACCTTTTCAATGATGTATCACACTTAGTACTTTCCCTATTTCAATTTCATTGGTAATAGTGACAGAGGGGTGGGGAGGGATGTAGGATAGTTGAGGATATGATCGAAAGATGTCCCCTTTGAAATAAAAATCGACCACTTTTTGCATTTTCCGCAAAAAAAATGTGTCTTCAAGATATGCGATCTTTTTCGTTTTCTTTGCCTCACCCTGTATACCGAGGTCGAACCGAGGTATATACGTTTTAATATTATTTTGAGCAAGTCATGTGTTACTAAAGTTATTACCTATGTAATACTTTTAATTATTTGTTTAAAAATTATTTTCATGTTCAGATGTTGCTTCTTTTCTAAAACACAATAACAAGTTGTGAGTAAAATACGGGGGTAAATAATACTGAGTTAGTTAACGATACAGTCCTTCGACAGTAATAATCTATTTTCTGCCATGGTACATAATCTACCATTATTATGTCAAGTATACCATTCGTAATAGTCTAATTACTACATCTAAAAAGTTTGTGATTTAACAATATTACAAATATGAATACAAATTATTAATAACCACGTTCTGAAGAGCAAAAACGTTTTTTTTTTTCAAAGATATAATTTAATTGTACCTATATAAAACTGAATGAAATGTATTTGTAAATCCGGAAGAGATATACGGAGATCTATGGAAATCCAATTGGTCTCCGTGGAGATCTCTGGAGTTAAATAAAGATCTCCATGAATGGAGAATTTCTGTTCTAAAAAATCGCAAGTGACTACCCCCTCGTTTAACCCTCAAATGTTAAAAAAATGTAGAAATACGATTTTTACAATAGGACCTGCAGTATTACTCTTTAGTTAATGAATCTAGTCAAAGCTAAGCTAATTAACATAGAACGTATACACAACAGGTCTTATTTAATGACCGAAGCAAAAACTTTTGTTTTAGAATAAATTTAATCAATTCATAGTTATACATGTAGGATCATATGATTAATAAAACACCATATTAACGACCGGATCATTAAACCAAACATCAGTTAAACTCAAACTTGACTTTTTGACGAGATTAATTAATATCAAGTATGCATTCTCGACGATCATTAACATCTCCGTATAGTTTGTGCGATTTTCACACACAGTAGCGCGGAAACTCGACAACCTGTTGCTTCTTTATATACTTATTTCATTTTGCTTTTTATTCCTCCTCGGTTGGGTCGCCTTGGAAACGCGACGTTTTGTTTCATTTCGCTTGTTTACAGTGTGTTTGTTTCATAACCCATCCAAACTGATTCGATACACAGAGAAAAACGGTTGTTTGGTTCAAACATTAATATCTATTTGACATTTGCTTGGTTAAAACACATTCTGCGGAGATTAAACGAATGTCGTTTCGATGTGGATTTATTTAGCATGAAATTTCATTGCAGTTAAAATGTTTAATGCTTCGAATCTTGACGTACGATACGGCTATTTATAAGCGAGTTTTAGTAAATGGAATTATATTTAAAAGGTTAAAAGACATGCTATAATTTCATTATTCAATGTAGTCTGATTTAAATAATATAAAACTATTTGACACAAACAAATATTATTTTTAATGCGATAAAACGGGTCTCAGAGAGGAAAAAATAGATTCTGTGGTAAAATGTTTTGAATGCAATCTCGCATTTATCAAATTTCCTGTGGTCTTAAAGAACGTGAGAAAATGTAAGTAAACACTTTTATCTTCTCCTTCTCGATATATCCTTATGCCCCTAGGGCGTCGGCTGTATGAATTTAATTTCATCTTCTTTTAAGGTAACGTCCACGAAGATAGAACCTAATTACAACGTAGGTACATTGGATGGACGCCGTAGGCGAAAGCAAATGCAGTTTATTGATGGTATTTTCAAAATTTAACAAACCCCTTCTAAGAATCAAAGACGGGCTTGTCCTTAGATGTTCAAAGTTGTGCTCAACACAGGCGTAAATTATAGAAGTGCTCTTACTAATGGAGGATAGTTCAGAAGAGCAGAGGCAATTGAAATACCAATAGAAGCTAACTGCACGACGATACACAACTCTTTGCCATTAGCATATTTTTTTAATAAAAGGCTCATGGATTATAAGATTTTTTTAATTTCAGGTGTGTCCTTGTTCTTGCTAATTATTTTAAGACGATTATTGCTTTCAGATATTCAATAGTTTAATCAGTTGCAGCGATACATTAAATCGAGCATTTAGATATAGATTTATCGAAAATAAGTATTATGAAATAGCTATTTATAAAACCAGTTGTGAAATTTTAAGTAAGGAGTGAATATTTGCTGGAGGAGCAGTTAAGGGCTAAAATATAAAACAAAATCCTGACTCAAAAAACGAAAAATGCGAGGAAAAATGATATCAACTTGAAAGTTTTAGCAAACATTAAGCTCTATAGTGAGAAGAAGCCCTTTTTTGATTATGAAAAAAAAAATCTGATTAAAAATGGGTGGTTTAAGTGGGATTGAAATTAAAAAAAATCATAAATCAAAAACATTAACAACATAAAATGTTTAGTAAAAATAAAGCTCTATATGGAGATGAAGCATATTGATTGTGAAAAAAATGGGAGTTAAGGGGGTTTAAATATTTGAAATAAATCTAAACCAAAAACGAACAATAATATCAACTTGGAATTTTTTGAAAAATCAAGCTCTACAAGGGAAACAGTGAAAAGTATAATTTAGAATGCCAAGCTTTAGATAACTTGATTCTAGTTTGTATCTGTGTAATATTATGTATTGTGATAAGACTGATTTTATAAAATAAACATTTTAGTTCACTTGTTTTATTTGCCAATAAAAGATATTTAAAAATTATATTATTTTATTTTATATATGTGACAAATTGTGAAAATGATTAAGTTTACAATAAAAACTGAAAAATGGTAAATAAAGTTTCATATAATAATGTTTTTTACACAAAAATCAATGCCAAGTTTTGTACATAATCTGATAGGTATATTTAAAAATAATCTCAAAATATGAAGAAGTTGACTAATATAATGTTTATAGATGGTTTTCAACGTACCTATTGAAAACAAAACAAATATTACAATAACTAAAATATTAATTTATTAATAGTTGCAGTGCTTGAAAACAGGATGATATTGATAATAACTACACTTAATACAAACTCAAATAATAAAAAAACAGCGATATTGGCTCTTGTACAAAGTTTTGAAGCGAACTTACAAATGATAAAATTACTGGAAAAAGTGAACCTCCCATTTTAAATTACGACGAGTCGCCACTGCTTAAAAATACTGAATATATGAATATCTTACCAACTTTTTCAAAAAGTAAAAAATATTTTAATTCTAACTATAAAAATTTGTCCCCTTGTGGGAATAAACGATCACATATCACAACTAGTTTTTCAAAACTGTCATTAAATACATTTATTTATAAAAGCGGTATAACAACGTTGTAAATTAAAAAGCCCATACCACTTGACAAACAATCTGCAATTTCTTGTTTTTTTTTGCCTTTAATATGCCCCTATAAATCACGCCACTTCCTGTTTTAAAGTTTTTCTACATAATTGCAATGCGATTTTATTACTTGAAATATTATTTATAGATCTTACGAAGTCATCAAACTTTGAAACAAAACAGTACTTCTGATTTGTAGGTAAGATTGGAAATTCTTGTCAGGTACCTAATACTTTAGGTTAACTTGTATTTGTTTCACCTAATTAGTGTAAATCTTATGGAACTGCTCTAAAAGCTAATAACTTTAATGTTTTTCTGATTCTACTACATTGGTAAGCCATTAATTCACCCTAATTACCCCCTTAGTACCAGTTTTAACCGATGTATAACTTTTTGAACGTTTTTAAATAAAATAAGCGCACGTGACAATAAATTTGAAAAAAGTCTTTACAAATGAAAAGATGAACTATTTTATTAAATATCCTACCTGTTGTCTCTTGTACTAGGGCCAAAACAATGATAGTAGTTATAATCCAAAAGCATTGGTAATCCTTAGTACAGTTAATCCACATTTTAGTGTAACGTCCCTCATAGAGGCACGAAAAATCACTTTCAGTGCACCAATCACTAATTTATCTGTTATCACTCACTATTTAAAACACATTTCTACTGTCTTTTCCTTTAAAATGAGCTGAAAATGTGCTTAAAACTCGCATCACTCATCAGCGTGTAGATACGCGCTCGTCAAGAGTTTGCTCGAGTCTGCGGTTGAGGAGAGCTTTGACATAGACGCGCCAAAATGGCCGACTATCTCTGCTTATATTCCTACGCCACGAATCTGACAAGATTACTTCAATTTATCAATTAAACTTCTCGGTAACTATGATAAAAGTATCAAAATACAATCCCAGTAATTCAAAACAAAATTTATATTAAGAAAAAAACTCTAAACGACAAGATAATTCGATTAAAATTCGATGTTAAGTGAAGGTGGTTCTTCAGATCTACTTTTCGTTGCAACTTGTAGGAATGCAGGGTGATGTTATGTCAAAGTTGTCAAGCAATTCTGTTTCTTATGAACGTTATACTTAATGCCGGTGTATATTTGTTATAATTTTATAATTTTTAAGCTGAATATATTGTACAGTGTCATGTCATTATGCATTGTAGTTTATTTTTATTAAGACAATATGAAATTGGCATGCTTAATAAATAAATTCAAGGTACTGGAATACCGGCTTATAGCACATGAGTCTACATGCCTATATAAAATCTTTGGTGAATTAGAATTAAAATTCGGTAAATAGAGAGATATGCGAGTTCGTGGGAATATCAACGTCGGCTAGAAGAGTAACCCATTAACTCCAGAGACGAATTTTTTATGCATGCAATTTTAGATTGTCATGCAATCTTTTGGAATTTTGTTGATCATATTATATTTTAGAGAGGTATTTCCTGTCCTAAATACAGATGAGAAAAAATATTGTTTCTCGGAATTTAATTTCAAAGCAGCTTAGGTAATAGGTGTATCGCATAATTTTATCTTTTTATTTAAATGTACCAGAAGCGTAACTAGCCATCTGACCTGTGGGGCCTAGGATGGGCATGTTATTATAAATTGGAATCTTTAAAAAAATAAAAAAATAGTGACTGTAAAAGACACAAATATCAAATTTTTTAATCAATACGTTCTAATATTTTTAAAAATATAATTACAAAGTAACTTTTATTATACATAACTATAAACAAATAAAAACTGTGATTTATATACAAGGTATAAAAAATAGATATACAGGATGGGCAAATTTCGATGTTTTAATAGAGAATCTCGTTAGCTATAAATGGTATGGAAAATTGACCTCCCATCCCAAGCGCGTAGCTAGGGATGGGGGGTAACACTTTTCACATTATTGGTGAATGCGCAGCGTGTTATTTTAGAATATGGTACCAATGCAACGTCTAGAGTACATATGTGTATTTCCAGAAAAAAGAGTGAGTTTTATAATGTAGTTTTTAATTTTTTATATATTTATACAGGTCGTTTCAGAATAAAGTACCGTAATTTTGGAGATTTGTAGACTTGAATCAATTATAAAGAAAAGCTAAATATAATTTTCCTATGAACGTCCCAGTTTTCATTCTATAGGGTGATAAAGTGAATTTCATAAATGAATATTTCGATAAATTACCATAACCCATTGACGTACAATGAAGGGCAAAAGAAACAATTTTATTCAAAACTTTTGAACACCCTACATTTTATAAAACTTAAGATTAATAAATATTTCTCACGTCATTTGTCACAAAAAATAGACTTCTGGTTGATCTGTATAGACTATTCCATTTCCGAGGTGATAGAACTCATTTATTTTATACAGAGTATTTTGAAACATGTCTTAAATATGGCTAATTTTAAGTTCAATTTACTCAATTTTGTCAAATGCAACACACTGTATATTATTTTCACATAAAATTCCTTATAAATTTACCTATCCAACGATACCAACATGTCCCAATAGTGCGTAATTGATCGATACCTGTTTTATTATTGGAAATAGGAAAAACAAATTAATATAAAAGTTGTATGACCATGTCTAATATATATTCTTAAATATACAGGGTGGTCCATAAACGAGGGGCTGACCAAACTTATACATTTTTATATTTGTTTTTACATCGTCAAACAACTTTAACAGACTTCATTTATTTGCTATGTTGTATATAGGGTGTTTCAAAATGAGGGGTAACGATTTTCTCATTTTTAAAATGGAATACCCTATATGTCATACCACCAATTAATTAATATAGGGTATTCCATTTAAAAAATCGTAACCTCACGTTTTGACACACCCTATATACAACATACAAATGAATGAAGACAATTAAAATTGTTTGACGATGTAAAAACAATCAAAATATGTATTACTACCTGCAGGGTGTTTTGCTTTAAAAAAGTATAGATTTGATCAGCACCTCGTTTATGGACCACCCTGTATATTTAAGAATATTTGTTAAATATGGTCATACAACTTTTATATTAAACATTTCTTCGTATTTCTAATAATAAAACAGCTATCGATCAATTAATGACTAACACATTGGTATTGTTACATTGGTAAATTTATAGGCAATTTTATGCCAAGATAATATACAGTGTGTTGCGTTTGAAAAAATTGAGTAAATTGAACTTAAAATTAGTCATATTTTAGACATGTTTTAAAACATGTAGAATAAACCAGTTGTATCACCTCTATTCGTTAGTTTAGTATTAAACAATTTTAAAATTAATGTAAACCTACCTAAATTATGATAATTTAATTTGGGGTCTGCATCATTCTCTATTTAAAAAAAAAATTAATTGTTTCGTAACACTAATATTTTTTGAAAACATTCTAGGGTTAAATACAGTATTCCCAAGCTATTCTAAAATTAAAATAAAATATAGGGTGTTTTATTGTATTTATTTTATTTCTATTTTTGTTTAATATAACGTTTAAAAAAATATTGATGTTGACTATGGCTTGCAGGGTGTTTTATTAAAAAAAAAACATACATTTTTATTTGCCAGGCAAAAATGGAACACTCTGTCTATCCAAAAATATTTTTATTTTAAACTTTTTTGTGAGTCCTATAACACAAATTGAAATATTGAACAATTACGCACTAATTGAACACTCATAAAATGAAAAAGAAAAAAAAAACCTGCGCATAATCCCACTTCGAAATTATTCACACCCACCAATCTCAGTTGAGGATGTCATATGTCAGAGTCACGGTTCTTAGACAACACGGTGGCCTCATCACGGTTGCTAAGGACGCAGTGACGTCACGGAATGAAAAAACTATTGACAGAAAATATTTTACTGTCGTACATTATATATTTTATTGTTATTTAGTGGTGATTATATTTTTATTTTTGAACTTTGTCCTGGTGTTAGAGTTTTTATAATATCGGTAGTTTGATTTTTTGACAGACAAGCTATAAAACAGCAAGGAAAAATCATGTAATGATTTCCATCAAATTTCAAATGAATTACTTTTTATATGAATTATAAAGAGAAACATTATCGTGGGACTGGTTTATTTTAAACATTTTGAGTTAAGGGGACGGCCTCCGAGCTGAATTCAGATCACACTTTGTTTATAACCTGAAATTTTTTGAAATTTTGGCAAGCCTGTAGCTAGCCGTAGTGTTGCTGTTGCCTACCAAACAATTTTTAATTTTTACAGACAAAAATCGTCAGAAGTAATAAAGGGACTGAGCCTAAACTGAAATTAAAGGCTAATGGTGCGATTTTCGAATAATATTCTGAAAATATGATTTACTATTATTAAATTAATTGCAGCTTTGTCCATCCTACATTTAAAAGCAGACGAAATGGTTTCTTACAAGCTTAAACACAACGAAAAGCAAGAAAAGTCAAAGGGCTTTACTAAAAGAACTTACATTATTAAAAAAAGGGGGTTCTACAGGAAGTTTTTAGTAAAAAGTAATTACAAATAATTTTTATGGAAGAAAACAAAAACCCGTTGGACTTCAGAAGAAACATACAATGTATAGGCAAAAAAATTATAAAACAACAACCTAGTTTTATAAATATAAATATTGGTACCAAATTAGAGAAAAATACTTTTATCTATTGTTGTTTATGTACATACAATACACAGAGGAGAAATTACACATACTTGGAGAATAAATCATCCAAATAACCATATCTTAGATTTATTTTAGCAGCGCACTTGAGAGAGAGAGAGACTTAAAAAAAGTGCGTTAACTGTTTCAATGATTATTACTTCGAGACAAAATTTATGTTGTATGGTGGTTTCGGGTTGAGTTCCCAGATACTTGCTAATAAATTATGAAGGTACCTGGGTGCGGTAGGTTACAGTACAGTGCAAATATTAATCACAAAAAAAGAAAAGCAACATTTCTTTTGTTAATGAGATCTATTAAACCAATTTCTGTAATTGTTATATTTATTATTTTACTGTTACTATTCAACTGTCAAAAATTTCTAAACAGTTATAAAAAACACATTTTTTAATAGTCTTATATTCTATCATTCAATCACTTTAATGTCCCAACTTTAAACCATTAACCACAATATAAATGTAAACATAATCGGAAACCTTTCACTAAAAATAGCCGATTATTCTTTTTCACAAGCCATTTATACTCTTTAGAATGATTGCTTTCATCGATGGGTCATCAAACCTAAAATTGGAAATCGCTAATTTATTAATAAAACAATTATTAACGTAATAATAATTTTGGTTTGAATGAGATATTAATTGAAAGATGAAGATGAAATAATACATTTCTATAAGGAATTTATAAAATAGTACTGTATCCTACTATTAAGTCCAAGTTCAACGCGTTGTTAATGACAAGTAACAGCGACTTTTTTATCACAAAAGATACAGCTCTGAACGATAATATTTTCTAAAATTGTTTTTAAAAATGGGTTTAGAGTGCGGTAAAGAAGAGTAGATGGGATTAGCCAGTTCTGGACCAAGGTCAGAGGCAAGGTCAGAGGCAATTGGTGTAATTAGTAATTACCCTAAGTACCCACCCCCACCCTTCGCGCAATTAGCAAGTACCTCCCAATTACATCATGTACTGTAATAAGTGCAATTGCACAGTAAGTACAACCCAATTACATCATGTACTGTAATAGGTGCAATTGCACAGTAAGTACCCCCCAATTACCATGTACACGCCATACTGTAATGATTGTAATTGCCTAATAA